TTTTTTTATATAGTTCGTGTGTTCATTTCAAATTTCAAATTGTAATATATATATAATATAAAAAATATTAAAAAATTTCAGGCATTTTTGGTCGGGTAACGGGTAGCCCGGCCGGGCATGGGCAGCCAAAGGTTGGCCGATGCTCGTCCAAGGTGAAATTCAGGTCGGTGATACAAACCCCGCCAACAACGTGACGAAACCCGTAGCCAAATATGAGACTTCGATTCAAGATCTTCAAGAATTGATGGAAACCATGACCCGTTGCTTAGCAAAGCAAGAACCTTGGTATGGTGAAAACGCCACAAATGAGTATGAAAAATCCGTTTGATAAGTCAAGTTGAACACACAAGGAAACCTTAAAAAGTTCAAATTAGTTTCTTCAAGAACACAAGAAAAATATCTCACAATGTGAATAAAAATATCAAAAACTCCTTATTAAATTCAGATTTCAGCCTTAAATAGGCAAAAATAAGATAAAGATAGTCAAAATTGTAAAAGTCTTATTCTACCCTTAATGAGATATGCGTCTAAATGAAGATAAAAACCTAAAGATAAGATAAAACACGCCTAAAGCTAATCCTAAGGAAGGAATCCAAATTTAAGTCTAACCCCTTCCTTTTAAACACCTAATATGAAATTTAAATGTTTAAAACTAAAACCTAACTCTAAAAAGATAGAATGATAATAAAATCAAGTCTTTATCCGTAATTTGACTTGATCCCTTGTGGAAATTGCGCCTAATCCTCTTGGTGTTGCGCCTAAGCCTCTTGGTCTTATCATTGCACGTGTGTCTTGAAATGACATGCAAATTGGCCATATAATGGCTTAATGGACGTGTATGTCTGCATGAATTTATTCCGGAACGACTTCGATTGAGTATTTCTTATATCCCTGATGTTCTCATCAGTCGGGCAGCCCAAAAATTTGGGCAGTTTGGACTCAGTAACCTGGTAAAAATTCAGACTTTTTTATCATCGTGGGCGGCCGTGCAAAGTTTCAGCACTGCGTATTTTTCTCAACAGTGCAGATCGGACTCAATTTCCTCTGTCGCCGTTGTTTTCCTGCAATTCTCCGGACAATAAACCAGAGACCTCGGTGGTTGAGTCGTTGATTACTGCTCCGATCATTAAGCCGATGATCAAAGGCAATAGGAGAAGCGCTTGGTGATTAGACGATATTGTTTCAAAGAAGCCTTTTGGGTTTGATCTTCGAAATTGATGTGTTTGGGATATTAATGATGGTTTTTTACTTTTTTATTTTGTTATTACAGTGAGAAGGAAGAAAGTGATGAAGAACATGAGTTTTGGGTTTAGAGAATTTCTAAATCTATATGTTCTCCAGAACAAACAACCATAAAAAAAAAAAAGAGAGCAATTCCATCATCACTAACAACTCGTCTTAGCATCGTCAGGCATTAGCTTTGGGGGGTGGAAGCAATTCATAGCCATAAATCTTTTCTTACTTTCTGACTTCTTGTATACAAGCCCAAAAAACTTAAAAAAATCCCTAGCGCCTTGGATCTCTGCAACCAATCCATATATATTCCACCAAGATCAACAAACAAAAAGGCCATATTATGAAAAAAAAAAAAAAAACGAAAACCCAAAGTTGATTTGGTTTTCCTCCACCATTGTCCATGTTTGTTTTTGAATCTTCATTTGATTTTAGATCTCCATGGTTTTTTCCCCCCTCCGATTGAGATCTCCATAGTTGTTGGAAACGAAGCTTTGTTTTTTTTTTATATTTTAAATAATACTTTATAAAAATGAAAAAGACGCTGATTATTCTCGTTAGTGAGTCATGTGAGGCGTATGTGGGTGATTCTGTCTAAAAAACTAACGCCGTCTTTAATTGGACTACAATTGTAAAGAATTTTTGAGGTTAAGGAGTCGATTGTAAAAAAAAAATTCAAAAATTAATCTGCCAATTGCAAAAAATTGAGGGGTACCATAAAAAAAGCCTTTTTTTTTTCCCGCTGTTATTTTTTCTCAGGTTGCTGGGTTCTGTCTTTATGTACTCGTCGTTATTTGATGTATTGACGTTTATGGTGTTTATTTATACTTATCATCTCGTTTCAAATTGGATGTGTCTCAGGCATGCCTTTTCAAATATTCTTGTCGTTTTTAAGATATTGTCGTTTTTAATTTTTATGGTATTGACGTGATTAGTTAGGTGTCATAGGAATATTGGCAAAATACAGGATGTCACTTTAATAAGTCTAAAAAACAAGATAACCTGCCGTTTGAAACTTTTTTTCTGTCGTTTTCACATTTTCATGTCTTTTCTTCCTGCTATGTATTATCCTCTCTTCACGATTTTGTCGCTTTAGCGATAGCGTTGTTTTTTTTTTTTTTTTTTTTTGCTATATTAAGAATATTTTACATAAAAGCTCATCCGAGTGTATCAATAAAAGTATTCAATCTGGACGGTCTCGATCAGCCGCTCCTTTTGACTTCCGCGATAAACAAAAAAAATATAAAATATAAAAAAATTAAAAAAAAGCGCCATCATGCCCAATAACCACAAACACCATCTCCGAGGCTCCCGTACATCATCACTCTGTTCTTGAATCTTCCTCCACCAAAAAAAAAAAAAAAAAAAAAAAAAAAGAGCTTAAAACTGAGCTCAAAAGTGAAAGTCCTTTCATTTTTCTCCATGACTACCAATATTCACTCTCTTTGCAAATCCCCCACCTTCCTTGTCCCTTCAACTTTTCTGGGTTCCTCTTCATCCTTCCCAAAACCCCACCAAATCAAACCATTCGTGAGAAAATCCAACAGTTACAGAGAACTGTTGCATTTTGGGAAAGAGAAGTTTGGAGGAGGGATTGTCTGTGGCGCACTCCTACCAGTTGATCCGTGGGCACCTACCATTGATTCAGAGAGCATAGCTTCCCAGTTGTTTGCGCTTTCTTTGTTCCCGTACATTGGTTTCTTGTACTTCATCACCAAATCTAAGTCTGCCCCAAAGCTCACTCTCTTCGGTTTCTACTTTCTCCTCACCTTTGTGGGGGCCACCAGTGAGTTTCTCTTCTCTTTTCAGTTTTACTATCTTCATCTCGGATATAAAAATGTTTGCTTTGGATTAAAGACTTGACCTTGCTGATAATTCTATTATCAGTCTGTCTTAGCTCTGTTAAACTTAATTCACGAAGTGGGCTAAAGTTGTCTTTTTTTTTTTGTATGGAGAATCGAAAGTGTTAAGAGAATCATTATAAGGTTGTAGAAGGTCCACATTCTTTTACCTAGAGTGGACAAGACTCATTGTAATGTTATTTTGGTAGGCATGCCATTTACAATATAGGAGAGTAAAGGATTAGTAAAAACTAAAAGTTAATAAATTTAGCTGAATATGGGAACCCAATTAGGGCCTAAATTTGGCTATTAAATTGTCAACTTGTCCTTGTACATTTACTACTAGTTAAACTTGCTTCCAAGATTTATAAGACACAGAGCTTACATTGTTTAGCAATTAGGGAAACGTAGTCATGGTGAAGATGGGTTCGTCAAAGACTGTCTTTCAGAGGAATTGAAGAAGTTAATTCGATCTGTGGCTTCTGAATATGGAGACGTAATTGAGGATATGGAACTACTGGGGGTCGTACGTTTGAATGGTGCTATGACTAATGTGGTTTATCAGATATCTTGGCCAACAAAAGATGGCGATTTTCAGAGAAAAGCATTGGTCCGACTTTATGGCAAAGGAGTCGGGGTTTTCTTCAATAGGGAGGATGAAATCCGCACATTTGAGTATATCTCAAAACATGGTCAGGGGCCACGCCTTCTGGGGCGGTTGGTGGATGGACGGATAGAGGAGTTCATTCATGCCAGAAAACTTTCAGCTGCTGACCTCCTTGATCCTGAAATATCCTCTCTTATAGCAGCTAAGTTGAGAGTGTTTCATTATCTTGATATGCCCTTTCCAAAGTGTGTACACCTCTGGAACACAATGAGGAAATGGCTTGCCACAGTGACGGAACTGTGCTCACCAAAACAAGCTGAAGAATTCAGCTTGGATACTCTAGAAGGGGAAATTTATATGCTGGAGAAAGAATTATCTAATGAATCTCAAGAAATTGGATTTTGTCACAATGACCTGCAGTATGGCAACATCATGATGGATGAAGAAGCAAGATCAATCACTATAGTCGATTACGAATATGCCAGTTACAATCCTGTTGCTTATGACATTGCAAATCATTTATGTGAGATGGTGGCAAATTACCATTCAGAGACACCTCATGTTTTGGATTATAGCAAATATCCAAATCTGGAGGAGCGCCGAAGATTTGTCAGGATATATCTGAGCTCCCCAGGCAGCCATCCCAGTGACACCCAAGTTGAGAAGCTACTTAATGATGTGGAGAAATACACTTTAGCAAGCCATCTGTTTTGGGGGTTGTGGGGAATCATTTCAGGTTATGTAAACAAAATTGACTTCAACTACATGGAATATGCAAGGCAGAGGTTTCGGCAGTACTGGTTGAGGAAAAAAGAATTGTTGGCTGCTTCAGGCGTTTCTCCCTGATGGAAATTATAGATTTATTCTACCTAAGTGTGCTTCCTAGTTCATAATAAAACTTTCACATAAAATGTAGCCAGCTTAATGGTGTTAATATCAATATGTTTGAGTTGATGAGAATTGTAAATAAAACCCATTTTCTCTTTTTGGGACATTGGCTGTAACTTTCGTTAAGGCTTTGGACTTTTCGCCGAATCCACTTGATAAGGTGGAAAAGGAAAATTTATAATGCTCAACAGAGAGGGGGAAAAAAAAAAAGAAAAAAGTTCATGATGACTTTGTGTGCAGATTCTTTTCCTCTGACCTCGTTCTTTGATCCTTGTGTTCCAAAATGCTTATGCTTCTATATGTTGAATTTTCATATTAAATTTTGCTCTCCGTTCCTATGATCTCCATTAGGAGGGCCAAGAAATTGGCCGAAATTGAAATTTTCTTCTATCCAGTTTCGTGATTCATTGTTTCAGATTTCATTTCTGTACCGAAAGGCTTTGACCGAACAAGAAGTTCTAATTTCCGTTTACTCCTTTATTCTCAAACGTTCTATTACTTAGAATAATGTTGTTCACAACTCTACTGACATCCTTCACTTTGATCTGTGCTGCTCTTCCATCTATGAAACAGTCCCTGCTGGAATATATGGTAAAGTTTTCATTGTTGAAAAAATTCACTATTTTGTTTATGTAGATCAGGTTTTTTCATAGATGTCTGACTATGATCCTCTCTGTTGTCACAGCAAAGGTGCACTACGGAACTTCCTTGTCTAATGTGGACTGGTTACATGGCGGGGCCGAGTTCCTTCTGACGCTAACCAATTTATTCATTGTGATTGGGCTGAGGGAAGCTCTTAGAAAAGCTAGAGATGAAAAACAAGATGCACCAGATTCCGTGTCAAGATTAAAAGAGAAGGAATCTTCCATTTAGGTGAACAGATTTAAGCTTGTATTTGTTCTCATATGTTTCTTATTTCACATTCTGCTTCATGTTTTAGATTTAGCTCTTTTCTCTCCTGCTCCCCAACCTCCGATAAATTCTCAAAACTCCTGCAGTCATTTTCAGCGAGGTGCTTCCAGAAGCCAAGATCGGAAACTTTCACCACTTATGCCGCCACGTGCTTCAAATGGCTGCTCATGTCAGAATATCTGAAAGTATCAAGAAGTTATGTTGTACAACCTTGTATATTGTTGTTTGTTAATTCGTTATGGAAATAATTAATTATTCCATACAAGCCTTTCCCACCTCTTATTTCAGCAGATAAATTTGTATTGTTCACTATTCTGAGAAGAGTTTGGAATCTCTCAATCAATCTCATGTATGCCGCAAAATGCATTCAGGTGTAAAATTTCAATTGATAACTTTTGTACATCTTTTAGGTTCGAGTATAACTTTCTGGTATCTCTCTTGTCGAATGATGATACGATTAGAAAACGGTCCTACTTTATGAGTTTGCTTTTGCCATCTGCTATACTTTTTTCAGCCACCAGATGCTTTCATAGAAACTATGCTTTGTCATTAACCAAATAGTTTTCAAATTGAAAGATCAACTTCTGAAACTTGTTAGAATTAAGATGGCTACTCCCTATTTTACAACCAGAAATAGGCTCTTAAATATTTTACAAACCATTCCTCTTCTCTTATATTACAAACTTAATTTATCTGGTGGAACCAGCTAGCCTAATAAGTTGCAGTCTGAGAATCTTACTTATTTTCTTTTTCTTTTTCTTCTTTTTTCGTTGGCATTTAATTCATCAAGAAAAAAATCCAGGGGTATCAAATGGGAAATTGGGGTCGATGTCGACAGAATCAAGTGAGAAATCCATGTCTGGAATCGGAGAATTGGTGGCCGAAGTGTTGGCTGAGATAATCTCAGTAAGATCAGATTCCGAACGATGCACGTATTGAAGCCCGGCAGAGTTGTTCATCTGGAACGGTGCGTAGTAACCCGATTCAGGTGTGGCCGGAGACACGAAGGACCGGGAGAAACTCCCCATGAAAGTTTCACTCTCCAGCACCAAAGGGCTAAAGCCATCTTCACCATTCAAGCCTCCATATTGACTCGAAGGGAAAGTGAATGCACTCTCTCCCAACTCTGTGACAACCCTCAAGTTGGATGGCAACTTGTGGCTGCAATGACCAAACTGTTGCTGTTGAGGAATAATAGAATTGTGATTGTTGGGTTTTTGGTCATGATTTTGTGGTGATGTTGGTGGCTGAACAGAGTTGCTGGCTTGAGAACAAGTGTGAGTTCCTCTGTATGTGATCTCAAACAAGTAAGGGTCTTCATCTGATCTTTGCACTTGCTTTGTAGCCCAACAACTCTGGGTGTTGCGAAAAGTGCATCTGTAATAGCTTCTGCATAAAGGATAACAACTCGTATTAGAATTCTCCGAAATGGGATTTTCGTTTTCTACCACAAAATACTGCCCACTACTGCTAAGCATTATAATTAATAGAAGTTAGACCATATTTATAGGACCCATGTTACGGGATTCATTTTCTTTTAGTGTGCGGTGTTCAGTGTCATCATTTTTCTACTGTTAACAGTGGCGGTTCACTTTGTCCATGTGGATATGTGGTATCTTTTAAGTGGGAAAATAGATGAGGACAAGGACTTTTTACCTAGGATATTTGGCTCCTAGGATATCTTTTTGGCCATACTTTCTCCAGCTATAGCCGTCATCCTGAGGTCCTTCAAGCCCATTCTCAGAGCTAACTCTTACTTGGTCAGTCCATCTTGGCAATACCTTTCTGCAGGACAAAATTTCAAACATTGTCAGACTTTAAAAAATAAAATAATAATAATAATAATAATAAAAAAACCAATTCCTTCTTTAGTCAAGAGCAACATGGTCCAACTCAATTCACCTCTTCTTTGAGCCATCTCTGATGAGGTCCTGGTCATCGCTCCGAGGACTTTCGTTGACCGACATCGGGGACTCCGGCACCGGTAAGTTGGTGGCCACCCCAAGAGCCTGCGGCTGCTGCTGCCCCATTGAGCCACCCCATTTGAGAATCAAAAGAGCTTTCTCATAGGAAGACAATATCCTCTGCACTAAGAATTCCCTTGTCTCAGCTGAAGACTTTACACCCAGATTTTGCCTCAACTGTTTTGCCAATTCCATCCCTTGAATTAGCTCACCAATTAGTGTCTTTTGCTCCCAACTGCAACTACCCTCCATTGTTTTTTTTTTTTATCAATTACGCGCACTAAGAGTTCACTAGAGACTTCAAAACAATATAGTTGGTTTCTTTTTCTTTTCTTTCTTTTTTTTTTTTTTTTTGGTAGCTCTTACTTCATTGATGCTAAAACAACCACCTTAATTCTATTCTAGAGTGGAGATTTGGTCATGAACAAAGCAGCAATGTCTTTGAAGAGTAATGATAAGCAAAAAACATGGAAGTTTAGATATGAAAAGTGGTGTTCTTCGTAGGAGTTTTTGTAGAGAAAAGTACTGCAAAGAAAATAGATGTTGTTAGATTCTTGGAGCCGAGAGATTGTAAAGATGTTGTATTTAAAGGGGTCGGTTTTGGATTCTATATTAAGGGGGTTCTTTTTGGAGGTAGAAAGTCTGAAGTTTGACTGAGAAACCGAGTTTTTCAGCTCTGACTGGTCTTTGGTATTAGTGAGAGAGAGTGTGTGTTAGAGAGAGAGAGAGGGAGTCTAAGCTGACCAATTCTACGTGGGCAATTTACTTCCAAAAGGTTTTTTTCTATTCTTCTGTGATTTGTCGTTTGTGGGCATTACCTAAGAATTTTCAAACCTCAATTCCGCGTGGCTGCTTGGTTGTTGTTTGCCATCATTCCATGAAGTAGAAGTGAAAATGAGAATAAAAAAAAGTGCTGACTTCCACACACACACACACACAAAAAAAAAAAAAAAAAAAAACTGACTCTCAAATTCTAATGCTCTAGACAATCTGCCCCCCACTCTTGGCAGCAGCACATGCCAAGGTTTATTAGTCATCTTGTGAATTATTTTCACTCTTGTCAAAGCTAGAATATATGTTTTGCTTGTCTACTGGGCACGCTTGGTAGCCTACTACTAGCCTACTTCAATCCTTAGCATAGCTCAAATGAAAAATGTTGCGTTAAATACTATCACTAATATAAAATAGATCTCGAATTTCATATTACGGGATCTACTTTTTATTATTGCTTTACAAGATTATAACACTTTTTTTTTTTTTGAATTGTAGTAAATAGCAATTTTTTAAAATAGTTATAACAAATGACAGCGTTTGAAATTTAGAAATAAGAAATTGCGGTTAGTTGTAATATTTGTACTTTATTAGAAAAAATTAATAATTGCAACAAATAACATTTATTAAACACATGAGAAGAAATAGTGACCACGATGGTGGGACAGTTTTGAAGAGAAGAAGAAGATGCGTGGGGGCAATTTGAGAGTTTCTAAATTTTTATATAAAATATACTATTAATTTATGTCTCTGACATTTATGCTATTAATTTTTGAATGATTTATATCGTCTTATTTTAACAATTCAATAGCTGAAAACTAGGATGCATATAGATATTAAATTATGTGATTAGACGAGTGAGGGCAACCCAATTAATCATAAATTCTTTCACCCCAATCATAAATTAAGAGTTCAAGTCACTTTGAGCCGCACTTAAAAGTGGTGGCATACCGTCCTCTCCTTAAAAAAAAAAAAAAAAAAAAAAAACTGTGATTTGCTATCTTTTTTTGTAAAAGCCTCTCAATTTTTCTTTGCCCTAGTAATACATCTTGAATTAAACCGTGTGGAAGAAGTTGGTTCTCAAACAAGTGAATTTTTCTTTTTAACCCTTTTCCCCTTAATCTTTTTAGTCTTTGAATTAGGAGGCGTTTGACCTTCTCAACTTGCAAAGACAAAATATCTGTCGTGTTAAAATATCATCAATATTTTTGGATTAACCCAAAATAGAAGCATATCCAATCAATTCTGTGGTTCTCAGAGTGTGATGCAAAAATAATTTGATGGTAATAACAGGAATGCATGGCGTTGGACTAAATAACATGAAAGCATTGAATGAAGGGGAAAAAACGAATAGTTGGTTTTCTGCTGCGCCATTGTCATTGTACCACATTAAAGACCTTTTTATTTTTGTTATTTTGTTATATATATCAGTTTACCAATCTATCCCAAAAAGCTTAAGCTGTTAGGAGGTGGGCCAACAATAGTTTTTATACTTTAACACTCCCCCTCACGTGTGGGTAAATTAATTGAAAACCCCAACACGTGAATATTTAAGCCCGAGATATATTAAAAACCTAACACATGACAATTTTAAATGGGGATAAAGAGTGCAATTACGAGAGTTTGAACTCAGGACCTCCCGCTCTGATACCATGTTAGTTTACCAATCCATCCCAAAAGCTTAAGCTGTTAGGAGGTGGGCCAACAATAGTTTTATACTTTAACAATATGAAATGAAGTTCCTTTTTGGTGATAAAGATTAAATTGATAAATCTAATATTATGTATGTTAGGCTCAAAATCAGTACCACGATCATCACCGTATACGTGGACAACATTTAGAGAAATAGGTCAACTTTAATCGACTGAAATCAACTGGAGACCAGATCGACTCGAGATGAAGGAAGATGACTGACGATAGGAAGAGTGTAGGGACCACAGCTAATATTTCAAGAAATGAAATTCTTTGGAGGCCACAAAGATTATCTTAACCAAATCCTACATTAAAGGCACGAATCTAACAATATAGAAGAGGAATGATACTAGAGAGCAAATATGGAAAGAAGGAAAGGGAAACTCAACTAAGGAAAAGATATACTATCCAACCTAAGAGAAAAGGAAAGTAGAAGACCTTCTATAAATAAGGGATGAAGATCACGAATTAGATATCTTGGAACCCTCACATCACGCCTCGACTCTCTCTGTCTAGATTCTCTCTCTAAAATCCCTCCTCCATCTTCTTCTTTCTTTATTCTCTATTGTAATTGTACTTTTTACAAGAGATAGTGAAACCCCCGGAGCTCTACAGTGGACGTACCCTGTATTATCAAGAGAATCACTATAAATTCGTGTATTCATTTACTTTTTCGCATTTTACGTTTTCGTTCTAACGTTCTATCGACTCGAATTGATTCACCAACAAAATCGACTCTCTAGAGCGGCCAATAGAGATACAAATTTAATTGTAGAATCTGACCTCTACAATATATATACAAGATATTTTTCTTCACCATTTTGAACTTGTAATTTCTGCCTTTTGAATGTGGACTGAGTCCAAATTATTTTTCTTACGTCTATGTTAAATTAGGACTGTAATGCTTCTGACTTTTCTACATCTTTTTAAGATGATATGGTTGTAGGGCAAAATCAATGACAGTATAATAAATGCCAAAATAAATATGTCGGTTATTCTTTGCCTTAATAAAAGTTTTGACTAGTTTTAGACTAGTTAGTTTGTTAAACTTAGTTAAAATGAATGAAATATTCATTTTCTATTCCTTTATTCTTTTCCCGTAATAACTATCGTTTTGCGTAGGATGTTTGGTAGAGGGATTCGTTTCCTGATTTGAATCATGATTCGTGGTTCGCTACAGTATTTTCTCTCACAAAAAATTCACGTGTAAATCGAAAATGGTTCGAATCACATGGTTTGAATCCTCCAACCAAACGTAAGAAATTTTTTATATTATCAAATAATACTTAGTGAGTCTAGAGTTAGATATGTGAATTTGTAATTAATTGAAATTACGATGTAAATGACTATATCTTCAGTTTGGTTTGACATTTTCAAACCTTATATATTTATACTTTAATATTTTGTGTTTATTACATCCAGTACCTCAATTTCTTTTCAAACTTCTAGAAAAATACATGGAATGTTTTTTCTTACGCGGGCAAGGCCAATACAACCTCCTTTCAAAATAAATAAATAAATAAATAAGCCAATACAACCAAGTATTTAGAGAACGTGTGGATATATATATATATATATATATAGATATATGTTTTAATAATCATAGGGGCGGGTCTCATTATATATAATATATATTCCCGGCTTGAAACAGTAATATTGCCAAGGGACTTTACTAATTGAACCTAATAGCCTACCATATACCATCAAATTTCAATACGCAAATTAATTATTATTGGTAGATTCTTAATTTTGTTGAATTTAATAATGGGATACTTTATCAGAACGGATTCACACGGATGTAATATTTTTTTTTATTTAAATATAATATTCCTATACAAGTGTAATTTGATTTTACATTGTTAATAGCAAGTATTTTATAACACGAGCTACTTTATAAAAGAAATAAAAAAAATAAAACCTTTGACTGCTTTATTATCTTCTAATAGCCTGTGCCACGTTTTGTGGGGTAAGCAAAGGGGTCTCGTTCCATCGTGTGGAGTCCCCTTTTATCCACACCACCTTATTTATTTATTCAACAATCTTTTCTTTTTTAGTCAATGATCTCTAGAACAAGAAATCAGCATCAGAAATAATAATAAATATTAAGAACGAAAGGGATGACCCTTGCGACTGGCAAATTGACTATGCTCCAATGATGGTTACATTACATCAGTTTCTTCGAATTTTTTAATGAGTTCCCACGTACTCTAATCCCCCTTTTTTTTTTTTTTTTGAGAGTTAAATTAAAGATATTATTTTACTTCCCATTATTGTTTATGTCTTTTCTTCTTTACCCGTTTGAAGCAAAAGTGGAAAAAGAAGTGATATACCAATTAATTATGAGGGAATATATATGAGAAATTTTTTGTTGTAATACAGGGAAAAAAAAAGAGTCCATATTAATAGTAATTATTTTTAAAGCCATCGCATTTTAATGAAATTTTGCATATTATTTGATATGAAAATTGTATCCGTAAACCATTTGTAGCTATTTTTTTTATTTATCATGTGATACGAGTGGCCTGTAGTTGCGGTACCTAAGTATAATCTAACAAAAAAATTTCAGCAAACCAAATAATAATAATAATAATAATAAAACAACGAAACAAAACAAAACAAAAAAAGGAAAAAAAATTCAATTGATCGAGAAAAAAAATCAATATGTAAATAAGATCACACTTGGGCATAATTGAAAGCCTGATCATGCGGCCAAACTCTAGTTTATTTTATATCATTTCACTACGCAAGTCTTCATCCTAATATTGCTTAACTATATATTACCACAATAAAGAGAGAAATGTGAGTCTAAGGAACTAATAATTAAGCATTTTTAAAGACCGAGCAGAACAAAAAAGTCTTATCATTTTTATTTGAATGATGAGAGAAAATAACTGATTAATGAAGAAGTCATTCGAGAAGAATCAGAACCTTTTCTTGGCGAAACCAGAACCTTTTCGAGGATAACTGATTATTTTAAAAAAAAAATAATAATCAAGTCATTGTAGGTATAATTTTAGTTGCGGGCTTCATTCTCCTCTCTTTTCTTGGCAAAGGCTTCATTATGTCTCATTAACCAGAACCTTTCTATTTCTTCTGCTTTACGACCTGGAATAATCCGACCAGCTATCAAATTCCACCTACATATGTGTAGTTCGTGGGGTCATATTAATGATTGTCTTTTCTTGGCAAAGGCTTCATTATGTCTCATTAAACACACATAAAAACGCCATCAGTCCTGCCCAATACGCTTGTTCAGTCATGGAACCTCATGGCTTGCCCAATCATGAGACCCGCGGCTTGAGTAGTTCGTGGGGTCATATTAATGATTTCAAAATGTTAATGAATGATTTCTTAAGCAAAGAGATATTGTGAACTGGTAATAGAGTCTATTGCTGTAAGCCTAGATAGGATGCGGAGAGTGCATCCTCGAGGGCAGAACCCGAAACTTGGTCCGGGTAGGCAATGCACTTGATTAGATAAGTAATTTGTACTAATTACTTGCTGAAGCCTGTAAAACGGTTATTTACAGTTACATTTCCTTTGAGAAAAAAGATGTGAGGTTCCGGCTGTTCTGTCGGGACTGAATGTCTTATTTTATTTACTTATTCATTTATGTATTCCCTCGCACATTTATTATTCATTTATTTATAACGTTTATTTCAAATTATATCCTACTGGGCCTTTCGCTCACGTTTTATATTTTAAATATATTAAACCCCTCCCAGAAGATTTTAGGAGTGATGCACAGTAACTGGATATTTGCTACGGAGTAACTGAGTTGTGCTGCTGTTGGAATCAAGTGAGGATTGTGGTCATCCTCGGGTATAAATGTAAGGAACTGAGAATTCTGTAAACTTACGTAATATTTGGATTAACTAGACTGTGGTTGATGTCTGTTGTAATGATTATTTACATGAGCATGTATGTACGATACTATATGTCCTGTGGGGGGGAGCCCTGTGTGCCAGAGGCTCCGGAATTCTATAATTTAATTATATTTTAATGCAGTTAAGTGTGGGGCCCGGTTTGGAGCCTGCTTTATTAATCCCAAATCGAGCTCCACATCACCCACCCCGTTTAGGGCGTGACAGTTAATCACTTGCAATATATATATATATATATATACTTACTTATTATCATGGTGTATTAATTTCAATGAAAGGTCATGAGGTAGCCGTCAATAATAATGTGATATACTTTGGTGCTGTGGTATATATTGGAACTGCCATAAATCATGTTGACCATCCAATTAAAGGCGATATAAACATAATAGAGCAAACATCTTTTTATAGAAATCAAAGGATATTGGGCATAACTCAACCTAACAAGACCGACTTGTTAGGGGAAGATTACCCTCACCTTATTAAGTGGATCATGCCAATATCTCCAGCCAATGTGGGATTCTAATACGCTCCTTCACGCACAACGTGGATGATGAGTGAGTTTTACTCGCTCATTTAGTATCATTTTATACTTAATATCTAGTTGGTTTCGAGGTTTTTGTTAGTTTTTATGTGTGTTTTCGTTCTTTGTTTTAAGGATAGGTGGAAGTCTATGATTTGGAAGGTTTTGGACAAATTTCGGTAGAAAAAGAGAGCAATCATAGCGCTTAGGCGCCAATCTATAGCGTCTTGGTGCTGAGTTTTATGAAATAAGCGTATTGGGCAGGACTGATGGCGTTTTGGCGCTAGTTTGCAGCGCTGCGGCGTTAAAATCCGGCAAAAATTGTGCACCGGGCAGAATGGACAGCGCTTAGGCGCCCATTACAGCGCCGCAGCGCCCAGGAATTTTATATAGCAGCGCCGCAGCGCTAGAAACACAGCGCCGCGGCGCTACGATACGAAAAAATACGCGTTTTGAAGGCCCATCGCGAGAAAACTTACCCTTTTGACCCTAAGGCTCTGAAACATATAAATAGATGATTCTAGGGCAATTAGAGAGACTTTTAGACTGTGGAATGACGGCTGGCTTTTGAGAGAGTATTCAAGAGAAGAAAAGGAGAATTGGGACGGAGAAGAAGAACGGCTCAAATCCGGAGACGGCTACGCTTCAATTCAACTCCAAACTAGTTCTTTTCTTTCATTTCCAATGATTAAGACTTTGTTTAGGAATTTATTTTGTTTAGAGATGAACTAATTCCTTTTTCTAAGGCTACGATGTAGCCAAATTATGAATGTTCGAATTCTCAATCTTCTTTTTAAGTAATTGATGTTTAATCCATATATGCTGAGTATTTCAATTTATTCTTAATGCTTGTGATTGTTTGGCCAACTATTACATGATTTTGTATTTGATTTGAGACTGAGAGGTGATAATTGAATAAGCTCTTAATTGAAATACCATGAGTTGTTCATAGGATAAAGATATCTATGATACTTGTGCAGTTCTTTTGAGTTTCTTACACTTAATGATTTTCAACAGGTTTAGAAGTCTGACAGAGATGTAGATTTTGCTTGTTGGATTAATATTATTGTTGCTTGAGAAAGAATAATAATTGCTTTAGAGAAATTGCTGTCGGTATAGGATTGAATGTTAATTTTCTTGAATTATGAGAATTTGAACATGATTAATTTGGTGAAATCGGAAACCCTAGAATCTTAATCTATTGAATATTCACCCATTGCTTAGCATTGTTTAATTTATTTAATTGTTTTAGTTTTGCTTTACTTAATTTTATAAACTCTCTTTTCAAGTATCCAAATAAAATTATGGTTAATACAATTTCGGTAATTAGTAAACAACAATCCTCGTGGGACGATATTCTTATTCACTATTATATTACTTGATTGCGATAGCGTATACTTGCTGTTATTTATTTTATTGTTCTTGTTTTGTGCTCTGCAGGAATTCACTCTACGTGCATGCGAAAGTTTGGGAGCAGTATTCTAGTTCCTCTTGATTCAGAAATTGAGCGTACTTGTCGAATAAATAGAAAAGAGAAGAGAGAAACTGTCATTCTGTTGCAAGAAACTATGGCTGATCCTGAAGGGGCAATAAATGAGAACCACAACAACATACCACTGAACAATCCACCGGTGGTCAATCAGCCAATGGCTTTGCGAGATTATGCATTGCCACCAACTGGTGTTCAATCAGTGATAAGGAGGCCGGCTATTCAGGCGAATAATTTTGAATTGAAGCCGGTAATGTTGCAGATGATTCAAGCGATCCAATTTAATGGATTGCCGAATGAAGATCCTAATGCTCACATCACAAATTTTCTGGAGATTTGCGATACTGTCAAATACAATGGAGTCAATGATGAAGCTCTTCGCCTTCGTTTGTTTCCTTTCTCTTTGAGAGATAAAGCAAAAAATTGGTTGAACTTACTGCCGCCAAATTCGATTACTAGTTGGGAAGACTTAGTTCAGAAGTTCCTTTCTAAGTTTTTCCCACTGGCTAAAACAGCGAAGATGCGCATCGAGATCAATAATTTTGCTCAATATGAAGGTGAAACTCTATATGAAGCATGGGAGAGATACAAGGAGTTGCTGAGAAGATGTCCTCATCATGGTCTACCTAAATGGATGCAAGTCCATAATTTTTATAACAGATTGAGTGGCACTACAAGAACTCTAATTAATGCATCTGCAGGAGGAGTGTTAATGAAGAAAACTGAAGATGAGGCATATGAGTTGCTAGAAGATATGGCAACCAATAATTACCAGTGGCCTAGTGAAAGAAGCTTACTAAAGAAGACAACCGGACTACATGAAGTTGATGCCATCACTAATTTGACTGCCCAAATTGCTTCTCTGTCCAAACAATTACAGAGTACTCAATTGACAGCTAATGCCATCCAAACATCCTCTCCAGTGTGTGAGTTTTGCAGTGGATCTCACCAAAGTTCTGAGTGTCAAGCGGACAACCCATTTGTACAGGCACAAATGGAGCAGGCTCAATACGTGGGGAATTACACTAGGCAGCAGAACAATCCGTACTCTAACAGGTTTAATCAAGGATGGCGTAATCACCCAAACTTGTCTTGGAGAAACAATCAAAATGTGTTGCAGCCCAAACAGAGCAACCCGCCACAAGAGAAGAAGGTGAATTTGGAAGAGGCCATGGCTCAATTGGCTACTTCTCACACGCAATTCATGAATGAAACCAGGACAAATTTCCAGAATCAATCGGCTCAGATCAGAAGTTTAGAGATACAAATCAGTCAAATGGCTAACATGTTTTCTGAGAGGCAACAGGGAAATTTGCCTAGCACTTCTGAAGTGAATCCAAAAAGAGATGGAAAAGAGTATTGCAAAGCAGTTACCTTGAGAAGTGGTAAAGAATTAGAAGCTCCAGTGAGAATTGAAAAGCTTGACAAATATATAAAAAGGGTGTCATCTCAAACACAAGAGGCTACAAAAAAGGATATTGAAGTTAAGGCAGAAAATCAAGCACAACCTCCTCAAGAACCATCTC